CCCCCCCATAAAATTAAGTGGCTCCTCACAGTTACCCCAGTCATATTTTTCTGTGTCACGAATGTGTCACGATCACATAGGATGACTGTCTCACATTTTCACAGACCATCAAGGCAGAGCTGCAAGAACATGAGATAAACCTTGTGGAGATGCAAAAAAATGAAGATCTGTCACGGAGAGTGCATTTCCAGATTGACATCACACAGGTAATACATGCTGGTATGCTTCAAACAGGCAAAGCAAAAGTCCCTAAAACAATCAAACACACAAAATAAAAACAGACCAGGAGATGGTAAGGACTGTGCCATGGTTCCATAAAGCCTCCTTTCTTTTCTTCAGAGGCTGTTTCAGGAGGTCCTTATGAAGTTCCAGCTCCTTCAGAAACCAGGCAGCTTTGAACAGCGCCTGCAAGAATGTGAGAGGACCCTGGCAGAGGTGCAGCTGGAAATGCAGGCTTGTGGTCTCTGCAGTGTGAAGCAGGATATAGTTGAGGCACAGCTGAAGCAGTGCATGGTGGGTAATGCTAATGGGATAGAAATGAGGGTGTAGTCCAGGGTACCCCAATTATTGTTCCCTGAGGGCCAAATTCCATCAGCACCGTAATGTCAAATGTCAAAGTAAACTTTATTGCTATCTCAGCTATATACATGAGAGAGATGGAGAATGCCGCTTCTTTCAAAAAGATTTATGACCTAAAGTGCGCACTACGAAGTGCGCACTACGAAGTGTGCACTGCGAAGTGTGCACTTTGTAGTGTGCACTACATCTAGTGCACACAACTGGAAAGGACTGAGTATGCCCTTTCCAGTGTGCACTACAAAGTGTACACTACGAAGTAGTGTGCACTAAGAAGTGTGCACTACGAAGTGCGCACTAAGAAGTGTGCACTATGAAGTGTACACTACGAAGTGTGCACTACGAAGTGCGCACTAAGAAGTGTGCACTATGAAGTGTACACTACGAAGTGCGCACTGGAAAGGGCATACTCAGTCCTTTCCAGTTGTGTGCACTAGATGTAGTGTGCACTACAAAGTGCACACTTCATAGTGCACACTTCGTAGTGCACACTACATAGTGTACACTTCGTAGTGCACACTACGTAGTGTACACTTCGTAATGCACACTACGTAGTGTACACTTTGTTGAGACGTTTCCACAAAATGGTCACATTTAAAATGCCTTCAGAAATTCATCACACACTGTCTGATATTACATTACAGTTCATAAAAATGCCTGGGGTGAACCTAAAACAAAGGAAGATGACACATCACGATTCTAATACACGTATCACTTAATTTCAGAGTACCGCAATTCACTACATAGCTTCTACTGCAAGAATCCTACACCAGCATTCGTGGTCGACCTGTTTAAGCGCTATGCAAACTGTAGAAGATCATTAATGTGTGCCATGATGAATCTCTCAAACCACTTCATTATAACTGGGGTTAGTGCAACAGGGTGGTAGTCATTCAGGCAGGATACTGAAGATTTCTTTGGCACTGAGATGATGATGGTGGATTTAAAGCATGTTGGGATGATCATCTGGTTCAGTGATGTGTTGAAGATGTCTGTGAAGACGTCAGCCACTTGATCAGCACATTCTCTGAACACACAGCCGAGAATTATGTCTGCTCCAGCAGCTTTTCGTGGATTGACCTTGGTTAAGGTGCTGCTCACGTCAGCTGTAGTCAGTCAGATGACCTAGTTGGTGGTGGGAGAGGCGGTTTTCCTCGCAGGCTCTTTCAATAGTGCATCAAACCGTGCATAGATCTCGTTCAGCCATTCAGGAAGTGTGGTGTCCCTGTCACTGCTGCTTGGTGCAAGCTTGTATTAAGTGACAGCCTGGATGCCCTTCCATAAACTGCATGTATCTTTGGCATTGTAAAAGTGCTTCTGGATCTTGTGTGCAAAGTGGTGCTTTGCTTTTCTGATGGTGCTAAGAGTGTGGCTCCGGCTGTCCTGAGAACAGATCCTGAGGCAGATACTCTGGCCCTGATTAAATTTGGGGTGAGGGTGGGGGGGTGCTGACCATGAAATTCACCAAGCAGTCATAATTTCATGATTATCAAAAACTTAATACCTCTCTGTAGTCATAAAATCATTAACTAAAAGAATAATTAAGTGAAAGAATAAATATTATTTTGAAGTTTCCCAAATTGTCAGATAAAGGGAATAGGTTTAACAGGTCTGGCAAGTCCTCAGATAACGTATTCTGTGATTTGCATTGCGTGATGCACAATCAAGCCTAAGCAATTCATAGCCCTGTATGACATAAAGCCAGCATTAGACCACAAGCCTGAAAGAGGGTCTGGAAACACCAGACTACGAGAGGATGAATAAATTTCATATTACCGTACTGCTGAGGTTGAAATGCATTTGCTTACAATTAGTGTCATTTCCCTAAAGAACTGTTATCAGATTTTGAGTGAGGTAAAGGCGGAGGTGAAGAACGTGCTGATGTTGGGACGGCAGACTGCGGAGAATCCCAAAGATCTGCAGAGCCGACTCACTGCACTCAAGCTGCTGTACAATGAGCTGGGAGCACAGGTCAGCTAATCAGCACCCTGCATTCTCCTGCCCTCGCTCGGCACTCATTTCTGAGTCCAGTTCATTCGGCTAGTTCAAGTGGTGACAAAGTGCTTACAGTGATTTACAAAATAGAAAATAAATAACCAAATACAATAGTTAATATGGGGAAAATATTTAATATATTACTTCAAAGAAAGTAAGGGAGATTTCTTTCTATAAAGCACACATTGCTATATAATTGCATGATACTTTTTTGAAATAGGGTTTATCTATTAACTGGAGATGAGCAATTCCATTGCTCTACTGGTTGAGCTATGGGAGCAAGACGACAGTTAACAAGTGCAGTTGAGGAACACAGAGAGAGGCGTGCGAGCAGGCGACTCTGACACTGCATCCTGACCAGACATCAACGTCACATTGACACTGTGGTGGACCAGATGCCTGTGTTCAGTTAACGACTGGTTACCTACCAACAGGTTTTAACCTCCTGGTCATCTGTTTACAGGTGACAGCTGAGAAGAAGGAGCTGGAGCATTATATGGCATTGTCAGAAAAACTCCAGGAAGAAGTGGCCAGTCTCACAGAATGGCTGGCCACCACCGACGCTGAACTAACACACAGATGCAATGTGAATTTCATGCCCAGCAATCTAGATTCAGAACTGGCATGGGCTAAGGTAGGAGGGCCTCACACATAGCCATGACAGTCAGATCAGTCCGTCTCAGTTGTGAATGGCGGCTTTCTCACCTCTCAGGTCATACAAAGGGAGACAGAAAACCGGCAGAAGCAGCTTCTTGGTGCGCTGGTCATCGCTGCCGACCTGAAGGTCCTGCTTTATGGAAAAAACTGTGCTGTGGAAGACAGGGTCTTTTTGCTGACATGCAACTGGAAAACTGTGATGTCCCACTTCAGGGAATGGCTCCGCTTGCTGCTGGTGAGTGTACATTAGGTCAAGTAGTCAAATAAAGTTTTACTGACATCTTATGCCTGTGAAATGCACAATGAAACGGAATGACGTTCCTGTCGAACCCACAGTGCAACATTCATGACAGGACAGAAAGTAAAGTACTAAAAACATAATGATGGAATCATTTGCGTGGTGCAAAAAACATTAGTCATCAATAATTTAAGGAGCACAATGAACAGACACAGCGTGCTGTTTATGGGGCCTGTGGGGCAGGTGCTTTAGCGCTTAGCGGCCTGGCCGTTGTTGGAGAATGTGCTGTGCATGGGCCCTGTGCTCTGCTCTTACTGTCATTCCCACAAATACGGGTATAAGCCGTGTTCATTTTGGCAAGAATTTTTAATGTAGTTTAAGTCTTAGTTACTTAATGAAAATTAAGTAGTTGGATTAAAGTCACATTTTAGTCTTTTGTTTTTGTTTTAGTTAAGATTTAGTCAGTGGAACTCAGGTTTAATTTCAGTCTAATTTTAGTTGATTTTTTAGTCATAATTTTCTCAGACAGGTTAATGATACTGAAATGGATTTTGCTGAAGGAAATTTCTTCTGGCTGTATAAATTCCCTTGAGAAGCAAACATACCTAATACATACGCATACCTTATACATACGCATACCTTATACATACGCATACCTTATACATACCCATACCTTATACATACACATACCTTATACATACGCATACCTTATACATACACATACCTAATACATATGCATACCTTATACATACGCATACCTTATACATACGCATACCTTATACATACGCATACCTTATACATAAGCACAGCTTATACATACGCATACCTTATACATAACCATACATTATAAATAAGCACACCTTATACATACCCATACCTTATACATAACCATACTTATATGCTTAATCATTTAGGTTGGGAATGTGTTACTGACTTGCCATACTTGTTTCATATATAAAAATGAATGCCCAAAGTTTGTTAGAAAAGTGCAATATAATCATATTTCCTTCACAGGTCATATTTATTTTCTGCATACATCAACAACACATACTTATATTTTTCCCTGTGTCATTTTTGCTATTAGGGCATTGAAACACCCGTCACGTTTAACTGTATGGCCATTTTATACTGTAATAATTTAACCTTATTAAAGCATCAAAACATCTATCGAACATCCATTTAACTGTGTGCAAAACCTGTCTTCACAATTTACAATAAGCCTTCTTCAAAAACAGGAAGTACAGAATACAGTAAAACTGCTGAAACAACAAAAAGGGACATTAGTGTGGCCTTAGGGCTAAGCATTAATCTTAGGTGTCTTTCCACCTGTTTACTAGATACAGCTTACTTATCTGGGTTTAGTTTCAGGAAGGCACTTCTCTCCAAGATGACCCTTGCACACATATGTGTGTGTGTGTGTGTGCGTGTGTGTTTCCCTGAACACTAAAGACAGTTCATAAACAAATTGAACTTTTTGCACCTTTTTAAACTCCTCCCTTTGGTTTTGCCTCACCCGGTGTCTCGCCCTCTCACTGGCTGTGGCTCAGCACTGCACTCTTTGCCAGTTGCACATTTCACACCAACAGAATTTGGCGTCACCCACAGGTCCAGATATTTTGCCTGCTAGTTATCTGACGGGTGCCTGTGGCACATCAGCGACTCCGTCGGGTCACGTTGTAAACAGTTCACACACAGCAATTGAGCACTGATTTGCCAGCGCCAATCGCACACGATTTATCTCCTATCTGAGGTTTTTGCTGGCAATTTCTAAAAACGCAACAAAAAATCGGGGCTAAAACCATGTAGCATTAACTAAGCTGGCCTTTGCACAGACATGCACCAAGCGGGAAAAACAAATCCAATGAGAGGGATGCATGGAGATAGTGAGAACTGTTACGTTCACTTGCAGGTTTATGCGTATGTAAAGGACTGGTTAAAAGCATAACAACCAGTGTATCACTATGACCACTGTGATCTAGGTTGTCTGCCCAAACAGAGCCAGCAATTTCATCTAGTCTTTACTCGTCAGAGCACAACAAACAGATATTTCACTGTAATTTTTGTTGTCAAACATTTTTTCATTTACATCATTTCAATTTAGTCATGAAATAAAAGGTTGTCAAATAATTATCATCAAAATTTTCGTTGACAAAATAAACACTGGGTATAAGTTGGTATGTGACCAGTGTGTTCTGGGTGCATGTTGTGACTATCATTACACATTTTTTACTGACGCAAACTTATCCATAGTGCTCCCAGGACAAGACATCTTTGAGGAAAACGACATTAGCAATCTCTCCCCAGTGGTACCAGTACCACAGGCAGAATGGTGACCTTCTGCAGTGGGTGGATAACATTGAACGGAGTTATATGGAACTGCTGGCCTCCCAGCGGAGTAGAAGGTAAAGGACCAACTGCTCATACTTCCTGTTCATTTAATTTAACTAGAATCTTCTCCAAAATGTCCTGCTGGTGCACGGTGGATTCCTGGGCTGCCAGCACGTCATATCCTCTTTTAATGTTTCTCATATTATGACATGAATATACACTAGATATATAGTTGCAAAACTCGACGGTGATTTTCAACGATGAAATATGCTTCTATACCAGGAATCCATGATGGACGTGAACCTCATGCCACTGAGGGGCCTGTACTCCCCAGGCCTGAAGCACATCACCCCGCACCGGTAGTGGGGCTGCTCGTATAGGAGCCAGTTGCGTCCATGACTTGGCAGGACGTGCAGCTGGTCCAGCGGTAATGCAGTCATCTATCATCTCCATCATCTGACTCTCAATGTTCTCTCTCTTCTAGATCCTTATCCTACACGATCCTCTGCACAGTTTAAAGAACATTTAATTCACTACATTTCAAATTGTGAGAGCAATATAATGATGAACTTAATCAGCATATTTATGAATTTATTTTTTTATTCTTCGGGCAGCATGGTATGTTGGACTAGTGCCAGCTCTGAAAATAATGTAAACAGTTCCCTCTTTTAGTCATGTATTGTGGTGCTATTGTGTTGTATGTAATGTCATGTGTAGTGTTAATGTTTATTGTTGTAAACAGTGCTCTGTGTGTCTGTACCCACTGTGTGTTGTTGGAGTGACCAGGACGGTCAGCACAGTGAGCAGTGTGTGTTAGGAGCAGCTGATGCTTGGTGTTTGTGTTCGGTTCTGTTAATGCAAATAAAGAGCGCTCCCTTTTATATAAAGCTGTTTTGTCTGCTTCCTACGGCTGCCATGCCTGCGTCTGCTGGTTACTACAATATGTAGTTATATAGTCTCTATTTACCATCCATGTGTAAAACTTTAACAGTAACAATGTTACACAGCTTACCATGGGGATCATGCAGCAGCATCCTGCAGTTGGGTTACTCGCTCCTCCTCCTACAAGTAACAGCACATACAGCATGAGCTTACTGCACCTGCTGCTGCATTCATAAGAGCAACAACCAAAGTTTCTGCCCTTGTAGAAGACGATCTGTAATTAAACAAGCAGTACTGTCATTCTGGATCCTGTATAGACATAACCATTCAGTCAGTGACGCGGAATACCTGGCATGGATGGTGACAAGTGACGTAGCTGCACACGCCCTGTGTGTTGCCGCTTAGTGCGAGAAAACATGGGAGACATCGTGCAGGGAGGACCGGCCCGCATGAGGGGGAAGTGCAGATGGAATGGCGGAGCTGTTACTTCGGCTGTTTGGTCCAATAAACAAGCCCTCAACCCTGCGACAAATCGGGGTGGTGGTCGTTGTTCTTTCACACACCCAGCACCCAGGTGACAAGCCTTCGGAAGGCGGGAGTGTGGTGATAAATCTCCCTTGTCCAGTCAGAAGGTAATAATCACAGTGGCGCCCAAACAGGGACCAAGGGCAATGGCCTGTCTGGAGGATCAACATTGCAGACGAGGGAAGCCTGATGCCTGCATGGTAGCTTCCGTTACGCCCATGGTAAGAAAAAAACAGCCAGTGGACAATCTTTTTTTTTTGTGAGTCTTGTCGCACCGCAAACGAAGAGATCAGCTTGGTGGATATTTTTTGTTGTTGTCTTGCTTTTTTGTTTTGTTTGCTTGCACACCTGGTGAAGCGCATGGTCTTTTGACCGGGGGTCCCTCTCCAGCACTGCGATGAATTCACAGTTTACTGCAGATATTTGTGCAGCAGGGGGCTCGCGCGGTTTCTGGATGGACTGACATGGCCTGGTGATATATCTTGATATTTCTCCTTTTTTCCTTTACTTTTTGTCTTCTTCAGTCTGGGCTGCGTTTGGTCTCATAAAAGGGGGAAACACTGGTACGCAGGAACCTGTATTGAAAAGCGCACTGTCATCACTGTTTTCTTTTCTTTTTGCTGAATGGATTTGCTCAGGCTTACTGATAGGGACACTGATGTCATTCTCACTGAGCAGCTTACCTTTGCTTTTCCCTAGCCACTCTTTGTTTTACCTAGCTATCTGGTGGCGACAGACATTTCCTACGCCCACCATGGACAGACTTACTGCCCCTGCAGTGGACGTTGGGGCTCGCCGAGGACTCTTTACCCAACTGTGGACATACAAGTACAGGTAGACATGCTACATGGTTGTTTAGACGACTCAGTTAATTTGCTGATGGACTTGCCTATACAGCTTCAAGCTCAGCGCACTGAGGCCAGAAACCCTGGAATTGTCGCAGGGCTACTGACAGGTAGCAGTGGCCAATGAATCTTGTCCTAAGACTGCTTTTGCCTCACATTGCGGGCTATACCAATTATGGGTTCTACCTTTCGGTCTCTGTAATGCACCGGTGACTTTTCAGTGGCTGATGCAGTCTGTCTTAGCGGAGCTGGTACACAAGATCTGTGCAGTCTACCAGGACATCATGGTTTCACCTACGCTAGACAAACATGTAAAAAATCTTCGGGCAGTACTATTGTGGCTACAGGAGGCGGGTCTAAAACTCGCGTTCGGGTCCCAAATAGAACTAACTACTTAATACAGTCAATAACATGGAATACCTGGCATGGATGTCAGGCGTTCGGGTCCCAAATAGAACTAACCACTTAATACAGTCAGTAACATGGAATACCTGGCATGGATGCCAGGCGTTCGGGTCCCAAATAGAACTAACCGCTTAATACAGTCAGTAACATGGAATACCTGGCATGGATGTCAGGTATCTGGGTTCCGAACAGAAGTGTTCTCTCCCAGACTTGCATTAACTTTCCCAGCTCACTGAACTGTGATATCTGGCATCTGAAGACCTCATGGGCATCCCAGATGACCGGGAATAAATTTTCCAGTATAAGGTTTATGTCATCTTTGAATACTCCTTAGTGAACTACACTACCATAAGGAAAACAAGCTTAACTTTAGCATAGCTCAGTGATTCTGAATTCATGTGTTGAAGAACTCACACATTCTGCTTGTTTTCAGTAAAATGATCTGAAACCTTGTAAATTTCTGAAAAAGCTAAACTTACTTCTTGTGTATGCACAAGCGTTGTGCAAATATGACATCATTACTCATACATTATGGAAAGAGAATTTCTTGTATTTTCAAAACACAAAGATGCTGAACATCAAAATTACATAACATTTTTATGAAGTCAAAAACAAATTACAAAACAAAAGTTGGTATTTAAAATACATACTTTAAACATGTATCAGAAATACTGCTGATCAAATGACTGATAATCTCATTATTTATATACGGGATTTGTTTTCCCTTTGCGACTGGGAATTAACTTATTTCATTATTACATTACAGAACATAAACTGTGCTAAATTTATTTTAGGTATCATAGCATCTTTTTATTAAAAGAGGAAGAGATATTCTTTACAGCTTAAAAAACAGAATAGAGACAATAAAAAGTAAAGACGTTGGTTGGATCAACTGTAGTATTTCAGTACTGCTACTAGATGGCAGTACATGACTGTAAGTGATTACTAGCATTGTTTTTGCTTTTAAATTTTTTTTGTTTGCTAAATCGTTCAAGCATCTTTTTTCTCTCTCGAGTCTCGATACTATAATAAAACAATTATGATCATTGTGAGAGAAGTAATTCTGAAGAAATAACTAGCAGCATGACGTGACTTTTACTTTCATATAATCAGTGTTGGATGATGATGCTACTGAACCAAATCCGATCATCAGGTTCCCTCTTCACCTTTAGGAAATGCAACTCTAACCCGATGCCACTTATCTTCCTTGAATGTTCTTAGGTTTCACTTCTGGTCCTTGAATAGTCTTATTAGGTTCTTGCTTTGTTAGAAGCTGTGTAGCTCCTGCTCCAGTGCTGCTCCAGTGCTGCTTACTCTCGTACCTGGACATTCACTGGAAGCTCAGCCAAGCTGCACTTTTGCCTGTATGCTCCTTAACACCATGAATGCTTGCGATGTGTGTTTAGTAGGATCTACTAATTATGTAAATGTAATGTAAATATAATGTAATGTGTCAGCCAGGCCCAAGAGTTTCACTGGGGGACGCGGCTGGAAAGGAGTGTCACCAGAATGCCATGGAAGGGCGGGTGGGGGTGACGGTACAAGGTGCTGCCCAGGGGACAAGCGGCAGGGGACAAGTGGCAGGGCGACACAGCAGAGAAGGCAGAAGACGCAGCCACAAGCCACGCAGTATGTGGCTTTTAGATTTGGGAGAGGGTTACCCCTGCAGCCACCCTGTGTCCCTGGGGAAAACAACACTATATTTAATGGAAAATTTATAGAATTCTATTAGGTTTTACATTTACAAATACATTCACCAGAAAGCAAAAGTAATTGACAAGTTGTTTAACTTTTTAATATTTGTTGCACTGGAAGATAAATGATACCTTTAGCTTTAAATGTCACTAATTGTTTGACTCCTGGCTTAGGGGAACTTCTGGTTGGACTGTTCAGCTCTGCCTTAAAGGATTAAATGGAAGCACATGATGATCTGTCTTGTGATTTCACTGGGAACTCTGGTCACTTGCTCAGCGGCTGACATTCTTCTTGCCATTTCCCCCATGACTCTGGCTTCCCTCTGTCTCGTGGCGTGATGGCATCTCCAAGGCTTGAAACCTTCTGCTGCTCTAACAGAGACACATCCACCGACTTCATCGTCAGCTTCCAGGATCATTTTTTCAGCGCGATTTGCATTGGCAGTGGCAGCGTCAGCCTCATTTTTTCCGTCCTGCAGATTTTGCCAAAAAGGAAGGGCTACAGGCACCTGGGACAGCATCCGCTCTCCAAGCCTGCATCCTCACCAAGAATACTGCTCATTATCAGCCTGTGTGATATTCTGGGATGTGCAGGTGAGGCATGAACAATTTTTTGACGTTACCTGGATTTCCCTCCCCTTTAAATGACACTATGACATAGGGTTAGAGTTAGAGTTAGGACAATAGGGTTAGAGTTAGAGTTTGTACATAGGCTCAAAGTCTGCTGAAATCAAGCAAACAAAAATGTGGTAGATGTGACCTCAGATGTAAATGCATAATTTAATAAATAAGTGGCATTAGGTTATAATTACACAATAAACTTTTATCAATGAGTATGCACCAATCTGTCATATGTAGCCTTAAATCATTCATTTCTTCAGCATACCCAGTCCTATGGCCATTGAAGATGTAGTATTTGTCTTTCCTTATTTCATGAGTTGTATGAATGTTTATGCGAAAACTATCCTCAGATTTTCAAACCACTTTGTCTGACAGCATCTAATCAGCATCTAATCATCCAAGATTTGGATGCTTATGGAGGTGCGCAGTTGTTGATTGATTATAAAGATGTCCTCCTTTACATTTACAGTGGGACCCTCATATCTAGGGTTTCAGTAACCGCAGTTTCAGTTATCCACAGACTACCACGCCAAGCAAGTACAGGCTGTAACATGGTGAAATCCACCAGTCCAGTCGTGCCCAGTAAATTATTCCTCTGCCTTTGTCCTGACACCCACGCTTATTTGCAAAAGTCTCATTTAGTCTGCCTCTTGCAGTTCACTGATTGCATTTGTTACTGCATTATCATAATGTAGGCCTATGTCTTGTTGCTGCATTATCATAATGTAGGCCAATGTTTTATTGCTGCATTATCATAATGTAGGCCTATGTCTTGTTGCTGCATTGTCATAATGTGGGCCTATGTTCTGTTGCTGCATTATCATAATGTAGGCCTATGTTCTGTTGCTGCATTATCATAATGTAGGCCTATGTTTTGAAAATGAATAAAAAGCATGATTTTCATTGATCCATCATCCCTTGATACAGATTTTTTTCTTTGTTTTATTGTCTCTTGAGAATAAGGCTAAAATATCAGAATCTCTTTCGAGAGAGAGAGAACGAGAGAGAGAGTGAGTAAGTACAGCGCAGTACTGTATAGTAATGCAAATTCTACTTTATTGTTGGTAATATATTATCGGGCGCAATTTATCAAATAACCTTCACCTTACGTAAGTACATAAAAATGACGTTATATATGGTTCGCATGGATGGTTCGCTTTTACTCGCAGTTTGTCATCCACCATTGGTCTTGAAACGAATCACCCGGAGATACTGGGGCTCTGCTGTACTTTTTTTTGCAGGCACATCTGCCCAAAACGACATACAAGTGAGACAAATGGCAGATTACTAACATACATGCTGTCAAGGAGTCAACCGAGCATAAGTGCAGCTAGGCTGAGCCTCTAATGAAAGCCCAGATACACGTGTAAGCTGTATTGGAGCAGGAGCTACACAACAGCTACACAACCAAAAACCAAAAGCTTCTAACAAAGGAAGAACCTAATAAGACCATTCAAGGACCAGAAGTGCAACATTAAGAACATTCTAGAAATATAGAAAGGAGTCAGGTCATGTTAAAGGTAAAGATCATGTGAGGTGACCCAGTTGTGTCCATAAAACATTATGTTAGCTCTGGGTTAAGGACACAAGCCTGGAGGTCTGGCAATTTCCCAACTGAAGGGAAAAACTCACTCTAAACATACATGTTCTTCAGTCTCATATGTGACTGGCTAACTGACTGGTCTGCATTAAAATGTACTAAATTTACATAAATTAAAAAGAAATATGTAAATAAAGCAGAATCCTTCCAATTTAAAGCTAAACAGTATTGGATTTTTTCTGAGACTGAAGAAATTTTCTCTACTACTATATATATATAATTTTTACAAGCAGATGAGGTTCATGAAGGAAATATACAATTTGGTCATGGAATTTACATTCACTACTTTTCCATTGCTTAACTAGTCCAATCATTAAAGGGGAAAATATATTAAGGCTGCATAGCTGCATAGCTGGTTCTATAGCCCAAGGGGGTAACAGACGTATCTCGTGTGAAGTCACGACTGGAAGATATTCTAGGTAGCCTGATATTCTCTTTCCAAGCATCAGAACTCATTGGGTGAGGAAGACTGGGCGGATATAAGCCATATTAAACAAGGGGAACCACTATATAAAAAGTTTTATAGATGGCCATTTAATATTTCCATTACGGAATTTCCAGTAAACAAGGTTAAGCGAAACATTTCATACTTCAGCACAAAGCAAAAATGATGGTGTGGGAATTCCCTTTTAATCATTACCATCTTTTTTTTATTTGCTATTTTCCCTTCTTTTCCCTCCTTCTAATTGAGCTCTGGCACTTTAAGTATATCTCACAGAGATTTTCACTAAGCAAATGTCCAAACAGGTCCATGCCGTACTATGTCTTAGGTAAATCTATGCATTATTTCAGAAAAACTGGAATTGATAAAGAAAAATGGCCCATAATGTCAAGCAATTGAAAGAAAAAAATCTTTTGTTTTTATAATGTGTCCTGGTCACAGTACATGAACGAGAGGACCATGAGGTAAATATGCATTTACTATATGACTGACTCATTTACGTGTGTGAGTGTGACCCTGTGCTGGTGATTGTATGGATGGATGAGTGAAATCAAGGCAGATTCCCAGACTCGGTTGCCTCTGGGGTGGGACAGTGATGGCCCAGTATAGAGATGATAGCTCACCATGCCTGTTCCTCAGGTGTCATTTTCAGGTCGTCCATATGGTTGGGCCTCCCCGACCTTGTGAGCCAAATCTCTGTCACCCCAGGCTCTGGTGTCTGGCCAGAGGCGTTCTGTGTGGGCAGTGCTGTGAGTATCTGACCACCTCTCGGTCATCGCTTGCACATAGTTGCATAAATGGGGAAAAAGTCATTGTGGAAAAAAAATTGCCATGCATTTGCATAAAGAATTTACACTTACTATATTTCATTTGCTTGAATTGAAATACTTTAATTAATGTCCACATTGTTCCGATGGACAAAAAAGACATATTATATGAAACTACAATACTCATTGAGGAGGACAGTATGTGCCAGGTTTCATTTCTGCCCATTTCACTCACATTTTGATACATCAGTTTGTGTCACTTACTGCAAACTAACAGTTCTGGGGGCACCTTTGGCTTGCTTCACATTTGCAGATGTGGATCCAGCTGTTTTTTAGCGCCTCCTTCTGGTGGACTTTCTGCTACGCGGTGGATGTTTATCTAGTGGTGAAAAGATCTGCTGGAATTAGGTACAGTCCTGTCCTTTCCAATGTTAGAATTTTATTAGGTGCCATTCAAGGAAAGACACTTTAAAACACTATGCAAATGTATGTTTTGTACTTTTTAATGCAAATGTAGGTAATTTTTCCCATAATTGATGGTGTTTTTGTCACAATGCATTACTGCTGTTCCACCTCCTGCAGCACCATTGTCTTGTACCACATGATTACTTGGGGCCTGGCCGTGATGCTGTGTGTGGAAGGAGTGGCTATGCTTTACTATCCCTCCATTTATAAGTAGGTGTTTTACACCCACAACCCATTCTCCTCCTGCAATTCACAGAACATTTTAATATCTGCCTTTGCTTTGAACTGCACTTGTGATCTATACTGAAGCCTTGCATCGGACAACATTTGATATATCAGTCTTGGGCCTTCATTTTAGAACATCCCACGGTCCGTTTGTGCTGGTTACAGTGTGACAATCCTCCTTACAGCTGTGAGAATGGCCTACAGCATGCCATCCCTCATTACATCACCACCTATGCACCTCTGCTGTTGGTCCTCTTAGTCAATCCCGTCCTTTTCACCAGGACCGTATCAACTGGTGAGTACTAACCACCATGCACTGGATTAACAGGACAATTCTTTTCTCTTTCTCTACAGCAACCATCTCTCACATTACCATTCAATAGCTGCTTTTCAGAATGTATTATATATCTTAACCTGGCCTGCTTTTTAACTGAACTTTCCAAGATAGCTAGGTTCCAAACATTAGCAAGTTTCAGAAGATATGCAATTAGTCAGACCTGTTAACTTCCCATCCCTCATTGCTAGGCATTTTAAAGTACTGTAAGGACTGATTTTATTTATTTTTTTGCCAATTTAGTTACATCATTACTAAAGAGCCGTCAAGGAATCTATACCGAAAATGAGAGGCGCCTAGGAATGGAGATCAAAATACGATTTTTCAAAATCATGTTGGTTTTCAGCGTGTGGTGAGTCGATAGAGTCAATATTTATTTTCTGATTCAGTTTATAATGCATGCTGTTGCATTACATGTAAAAACAACTTACAAACAGTGAAGGGATGCCTGGTTATTGTAGTGAAGGTGTTCTTGGTGACAAACATACCCATAATAATTAACTGTATAACTACACATATAGTAGAGTAATCATGTTAATGTTTGCCTGTGTTGTTTGGAAACACTACAAGGTTCATTTGGAAAATGGAAAATGAAACGATTATTCAATGCAGAACAGACACCCTCCAGACTTTTGGGAAAATTGCTAATTACTTTAAATTTTCAGTATCAGTTCACTGCAATGATGTTTGAATAAAAAACAGAATTGAAACTCATTCCCCCTGTTCTGCAGCTGGCTGCCTAACGTCGTAAATGAGGGTCTGCTCTTTTACTTGGAGATGCAGGACGATATTAAAGCTGGGCATCTGAAGAATGTGCGGAATGCTGCCCTCATCACGTGGTTCATCATGGTGACACCAGATTCCTGAACCTTCCTCCCTGTCATTTACCCTGACAGCTTCCTTTGAGAACAAAAGACCAATCTCAAATATTGGAGTAGAAATTAGGTTTCGGAGCTACATTTGTTTTTATACTTCTTGTCAAGCCTGCATGAACAGGTGTAGATCAGTCATATTTTGAGGCTTTTAAGGCTTAAATTACACCCATGTCAGTGTAATACTTGATGAAATTCTAATGTATATTTGTGTGGTAAATGAGTCTAATGATGCCATTTCCAATGACTTATTGTGTATGGCTATAGAGAAAATGTGGTTCTAGCTCTTCTGTGAATGTAGATATTTCTCCATATTTTTAGGGTATCCTAAACCCCATGCAGAGCTTCCTCAATACTCTGGCCTTCCATGGATGGACTGGCTGTGATGTTGACCTGAGGATACAGCGGGCTGCAGAGGTCTCCTGGGACTCGACCTCCACCTCAGTACCCGGTGCAGGGGCATACAATGCTGTGCGGGGCTCCACCATGCACTACGAGAGTCACGTGCAGGAGAACAAGAAGATCATCATCAGTGGGCAGCAGCATTCGGATGCAGTTACTATACTTTCAGAAGGTAGAGGGGGTTTATCAGACGATCGATTCCAGCCTGTTTAGGAACACTTGGAATATCCATTCCCAGAATGACACATTTTGAACACATCTTTTCTATAAAAAAGCCTTCTGAAAAATGTTTATCTGGGATTCCCTGAGAAGCTTCTTTGGCTATCCATGAATGTCATTACTAAAAATTGCTGGAGGCGAAATCTTTGTGGAAGCTAGCATCTTCCTGTCCTTCTATATGTCAGAAAATGCTAAAGAGAAAAAAAGTGTACAGTGATTTTACAAATGAACACAGTAATTAAGTTGTCTTTTTTGCCTTTTTAGGTTCAGATTCTAGTACTACTGAAGTCCACGTTTCCAGTGAGCTGCGAGACTATGAGGGGAGAGATGCAGAAGGAGAGTCACTGGAAGGTTCCGTAAGGCACTAGCTGGAAAAGCAGCAGCATAGCTTCCAGATGCTAACTCCTTAGCAAGAAACTGGGCCTCATTCTGAGCCACTACCATCAAACTCTGAGCCACTGCAGCCTTTAATGCCATATCTAATAAAGCAGGCTCTGCTTTGCCCTCACACATTGCTACTGCTATACGACACTGTCACTCAAATCCATCATGCTCAGCATAGACTGGACTTAGTTAAACTAACTAAGCGGGACAGCTGATCATCCCTTTTGGGATTTTCCATTTCATTGGTAAGATCAGTTCTCTATATCTACCTTTTAAGGCCAGAACGTTTAAAACCCATGAATAAAATATAAAATCAGCAACATTATATTACCAAGTAACACCAAACTTTACAATATCCATTTTTGACTTCTGAACTACCTCACCACAGGCAAAATTAACAGTTAACTTATCCAAATCATCAGTGGAAAGATACAGAATCTGATTTGTCTTTTAACTGACATAAAGCTCATTTTATGTTTAATCTTCTCTAAATGAAACCACCACATTCAAGTAATAAATTTAACATGTTTCCCGCAAACACCTAAAATGATGGTTAATGTGTTTTTTATATAATAAAGATGGAGTAAATCAGATTCAGTTTAAGGGTGCTGGTGATTTCATACCTTTTCAATAACATAAATCAGTTCTCCGTATTAAAAATGTACTTACAATACTGCAAAAATCACATTTGGATGGAAGCAAAAACTTAGGAGTTTAAGAGAACTTGTATTTTCTATACAATGTAAAAAACGAGCCAAAATGAAATGTTTTTGTATTGAACTAAGAGATATTTGTATTCTGTTCAACATACTTAAGAAACCGCCACAGATGCCATAAGAAAGTGACACCCCCACAAAGATGCAACTGCAAATATAGAAAAACAACTAAAGAGACTGACACCTTTTCTAATATCAAAATAGAGCATTTTATTAGAGACAGTGAAATTGACTTACGCCGCAACCTTGTATTGAGGAGAGAAAAACCAGTGTAGCACCTGCTCAACATAGAATTCTTAGAGAACGAACCTCAATCAGACACAAAGTATCACAGCAGAAGCTGTGGCCCAATATCTGGGCATGAGAGTCAGCAAATACTGCCAAAGAATTATTGCTCTTTGCCAGCAGAAAAAAACATAAGCTAATGTTTGACAAAGGGCTTATGCATTGATCTAAACCAGCGCTTCTTGAACAGAGACCTGGGGGAGAATGGAGTGTGCTGGATTCTTCTAATCATATAAAATATATATATATATATATATATATATATATATATATATATATATATATATATATATATATATATATATATATATATATATATAAACATTGCCCAGGCTGAACTAACTGTGGTCAGTTTGTACTCCCCAAACAATAGCCCAAATTTATTAAACTTAATTAAATAACTGTCCAATTGCTTGATATTAAGGTAATTCTCAAGGACCGCCAGAATTTTCATTCAAGAAAAGAAAAAAAAGCAGGATGTTCAGCGCTCAATAATTATTACAATAGACAGCTTAATCGTTTTCAAATTAAAAAAAAATAGGTTGGAAAAAACTACCACACAAAATGACCCCCACAGACCTACCTGGTTCCAGAACCACTGCTATAAAAAAATTATTTCAAATAAATAAATGGGATGTAATATGCCTTTGTACTGCCTATGTGCCCAGATAGGCCTCTGTGTAGGGTTTACTGGATAAAAGGACTGCAAACTAAACATGCTTCCCCTGAACACAGCTGTCAGTGGAAAATTCACAAATAGGAAAGTACTAAGGGAGTTTCCTGAAAGCACTGAAGCATTAGAGATCACAGCCAGGTCTCCAAGTCACTGGCTGGAGCTACTGGCCAGACTCCAGTGCCACCTCAGCAAACAGAAACATCCATCCAGCCAGTGCAGGGTCACAAGGTAAACAAGAACTATGCAGTGAAAATGCTACACAAACTCTTAAAGTTCTAAAATGAGTCAGTAGGCTTGTACAGTGATAGACAATAAAGTTATTAGAAGGCTGGGAAAGAAGACTTTACATTTTCCTTTCACTGACATTATATGTTTGGGGAAGAAAAAAAAAAAGATTTCAGTTTAAATTAAGAGCCGAGATGGAATAAAAACCAAAAGGCGAGGATGTGGGTACCTTCAGGATTGGTCAGCATGTGTTTTAATAAGACCAGGGCGGGACACCTGCCCTGCACTCCCAAGATAATCAGCTCTGGGCTGTTCACCACCTCAATAAAAATCCACTGAGGAGTAAAAATAGAATTTACAGAAAACCAGAATCAATTTGAAAAATTTTAGCATTGTCATGTGCAAAGGCAGGTTGGACAACATATGTGGATCCCAAGGCCCAGGTGGAGACGAGTATTTGTACTGCATATAACCACATATACACAGTATATAAATGAGCTTTTACCTAATTTACAAATCTTTACATTCATTAAAATATACATCCATAGAGAGTATATGCGAACCACTCTGTCAATGCAGATGTCCATAAAAGTTTTTTTTAATATTTATTATTACTATTAGCGCATAACATTTGAGTTAGTCTTTGCCATTCTGTTTGTGAGAAAATTAAGATGCAGAATAATCCCCCCCCCCCAAAAAAAAAAATACACCTCAGATTTGTGCCTTTTGCGGCTAACACAAGTCCAGGAGTTTAAAACGTAAATGGAGGAAAAAAGAGAAAGAAGCATTTTAAGAATTCCTCAAAAAAGTCCTGAAAAGGGTGATATGAAGATGCTGCTGGGCTTTTAAAAAATGAGGCGCGTAAGCACCAGCAGGGGGTCCACCAAAAAAACAATGACAACAGAACAAAGCACCTTCCCCTTTTTGGGTAACCTCTTGCAAGAACTGAACTGGGCAGATGGGGCCTGCTGCAGTCTCGTGTGAAGACCACGCTTCACTTTGGTCAATCATTCTTCTCCAGCAGGGACGACCCCATCAGACTGCTCGTGTGTTGGTATGGCTCACTCGCTCACTCGTACTGTAGCATCCAGATGACAGGCTGCTGCACATCTGGTCTTCAGAGGGGAGCTCGCTCTGTTTTGGTTTCATGGATTTGATTTCAGATTATTATTATTATTATTTGGCACAGCCATTTTGAATTCAATCCTGTTCTTCAGCTTCCATCCCAGCAGGGCCACCCATCCCATAGTGTAGCCTGCTCTGCTGAGGAAAAGGCTCTTTCGGACCATTGTTGAAAGTTCCACCGTTTCAACATCTGAAATCACCAAGACTTCCAGGAGACATTGTAAGACACCAACCATGATCCATCTTCAAAGTCAATGCACAGATGCTATTTCCAAAGATTCAGAACACAAACCTGATGAAAGAAAAGTTAAACAATTTATTTCATTTAAGTTGTTGTTGTTCAATTTATTTCTATTGATTGTACTAGATAAGCAACTTATGGGTAACCTTCATAACATACATTATGATGATAGAGATGCCGTATCTGCACCGATCCTACTCACCGATCCATCGGATGCACTAGCTCCAACTTTGTCCCCTGTGCTGTTCCAGCAAACTTCAAAGATGCCCCCTGTCCCTCTATAGCTGTGAACCAAATCTCCGCTCTGGTGACACAAAGAACAGGAACCCATGGGAGGAACAGGCAGCCAAGATGATTGCTTCTCCACATGACCCTTCCCACGACGTTGATGTATGTATACAGAACCTTTCCACAATGTGAAATAGACAGGGTTTTCTTCACAAAGCCCTCACTTGGTTCTGCTGAAGGGTGAGATGTTGGTACTATCAACTAAGCTACTCCAGCTCAACTGCCATGGAGTTTGGATGCTCTACTAAGGACCCAATTGCTCACCAATGTACTCCAGATGTGGACACACTTGTCAAAAGAGCCACTGGCCAGAAAGCGTCCATCGGGGCTGAAGGCCACACTGTAGACAGGTTCTTGGTGCTTGGTGAGGGTGTGGATGCAGATGCCACGCTCCACATCCCACAGACGCACAGTTGAGTCAAAGGACGCACTGCAGGGACGGCAACATCACAAGTGATGGCTCGCTTGGTCTCACTCAGACAGCTGCGTCCGACTCACAAGCCGTCTACTGTCAGCTAACATTCGATCGCCTCAGTGGTGAGATCTGTGTTTGGGTTTTTTCAAGGACAGCACATTTATTAAAACCATGTGACTGTTTTCAACTGAACGCAAACCATAAAACATTTCAGTTCTATTTTGAAAATATCACGCACTGGGTATAAAATATGAGCCCATCTGTCAACACTTTTTTTTAAAACATGGAGATTTGGAATCTAATGAAAATGAATCACAAACATTTTAACCAGGACGGTACTATTAGTAGACCCAATGCCTCTTTGCCATTCCTGACCAACTCAATCTGGCTTATAATGTTTCTGGTGGCATGGGAAAGTACAGAAGATTGTTATTTTCACATCTGCTACAGAGATTTACCAGAAACAAGGGCATACTTTGCTGTATGACAGTACGATATGCTGCCAGCCTCAATCACCGAAACCCAGCTGTGTATCTCCAGTCACTGCCATCTACCCACTGGTTCTGTCCCCACCTGGCGAGCATGATGTTAGAGTTGGGATTGCTGGTGCCAGGCCCAGTGGGACTCCACTTAATGGTGTAGATCTCTTTACTGTGGGCTTGTAGGTCATGCACACATGACTCCTGCTTCATACTCCATATCTGAGCAAAAAGGGTCATTAAAGCAAAAGGAAGCACACATGGCTGCTAACAGATGAGTAACAGAATAGCCATGAGACCCTAACCCTGGTATAATTGTTTAGAGAAGTCTTACAAAATAATATGTATCACTAGACCAACAAACAAATTGGCAATGGAGGAAAAAGAGTATCCGCCTTTGGGACTGGCTGGGCTTACACTAATACAGAAAGACAAGGCTCAGAAGATCCCATGGTCGCCTCACCTTCAGGGTCATGTCATCCGAGCAAGATGCCAGCAGCAAGCCAGACGGATCCCATTTGATGGCGTTCACTTCATTCTGGATGAGAAAGGATTGGTGGAGTTGGAGCACAGCTACAGAATAAGAAAGACCAGTATGTGCTCTTGGGAAAAAAACTGCTATTTCTTATACCTGATGGCCTGCTACTGACAAAAAGTAAAAGCAAACACTGAATCATCAGAGAATGATGCTGTTTTCTTCCTCTGCGCCGGAGTGCCTCGTACCGTATGACCCTGGAAGGTTTTAAGGGGCCGGTCATTGCCGAGACGACACACATGGATGCACATATCTGTGCTGCATGAAGCGAAGGTGGTGTTGTTCTGCCAGTCAACATCCAGGGCGGGAGCTTTGGGGCACAAGCAAACCATGCAGACCTTTAGAGAGGTGAACTTTACCTTTCCAGACAGTCAAAGACAAATAGCTAACAGTTTTGACAATCAGCTATCAGTTCTAATGTGCCAAATAGATCCTGCAAAATAATATGCATACCACAGCCTACGTGCCTTCAAATATCATATATGAGTACCATAAATTAAAAACCAGCATAAAATTACAAAGGGCTTTGACTGAATTGGTATTCACCAGTTCTCTGAATTGGTACTGTGCAAGAATTAGAGGAGGTACTAAACATATTTCTAATTTGTTTTTAACCATTCGATTCCCCCTGCCGTCAGCCAGCTTGCGTACCTGAGTGAAAGGGGAACTGCTGCTTGGCCTCTCCAGTGTGTGCATCCCAGATGATTGTCGTCTGATAAGAGACGCATTACGTGTTGCACGTTATATAATCCACAAGATTCAGTCTTAAGACACTATTCAGCTGTTCCATTAAAAATGAAGTGATCGCACGACCCAAAAAAGGCAGAAGATTACACAACCCACAAGAAAGAGTAAAGGGCAAGAATTACATATCACTGGAAAATTCCAGATGAATCACGTCATAATTTACAGTATCCCTTCAAACTTTTGGCCTTTCCTGGTAAATCTGAGGCTCTTGAGGATCCCAAGGCAGAACTGACTTCAGTTATAAAGGGTCAGAGATGGCTCCACTGCATATCCAATCTGATGATCTTTTTTATTTAAAAAAATGCATTTCTGCCAAGCATTTAAATAGGACATGTTTACCTATTGTTCAGATTTTCATATCATCAGCAGCACTCAACCGATTTTGGATAAGTAATTTCTAGAAATGTCATGTTGACCTCCAAGTCATATATGGTTAGATGATTAACACTGTATTTTATTCCTATCTGCATTTGCAATACATATATAATCTATCATTCAGACTTAACTGTGTATTAAATGTTATGATCACATACTGGTAAAGTGTATACATATTTACACACAAACATGCTAAGTAGTAAAATGAAAATGATAATTAAGCATCCAATGCATCTAACCTGATGTGACTCTCATATGGTATATGAGTTTATTACTGTTTATATTTGCCCAAGCATATGTTTTTTAAATGATTATTCAAGTTGTTTCTAAAGTGCAGATAAATATTAATTCTATTTTAAAGACACGGATACTGATACCACACTGATCTTCACTGAGGTGGAATCTCAGTTCCTCAGAATACTCATGCAAAATAAATTTACAATTGAATTGAATTGGATTGGATTGGATTGGATTGGATTGGACTGGACTAGATTAGACTGAACCGGACAAGACCGGACCGAACTATCTTGGACAGAATGTTAGCACAGCCTGATGCACAGCTGCCTCACACCTCCAGGGCTGGAGCTTTCAATCCTGCCTCCACTCTCCGCATCCTGCCTCCACTCTCCGATTCCTGCCTCCACTCTCCGATTCCTGCCTCCACTCTCCGATTCCTGCCTCCACTCTCCGATTCCTGCCTCCATTCTCTTTTTCATGGACTTGCATTGGTTCGTTCTGGATTCCCGTTTCCCCCCGCAGTATGAAAACATGTGCTCAGAACTGGCATCTCTAAATGGCCCAGAGCTTGTGTGCCTAGCATCAGCCTCCTGTCCAGGTTGTTCCTCTGGCTTGTGCCCAAAGCTGCCTGGAATCCAGGCCCCCCTCCCCACTATCCTAAATCTTTGATGTGACAAACCTTGTCTACTCCAGCACTGAGAATGCAGTTTCCTTTCTTGTTCCACTTCAGTGCGAATATTGGACCTTTGTGCTGCCCTAGAGTGCCAGCCAGATTACCTGCAGATAATTACAACCACATGTCATGGACACTATCATTTTACTTAGAATTGCTCTAATGCATTGTGTCATTCTTTCCTTGTTAGGAGGCAGTTACATCACCAGCATGTGGGAAAATCACATAAACACAACAGGGTCCTTTTGCAAGAACAAAAAAAATGGTTTCGCAGGCAATATCAGTTAAAAAATATTAGCAAAATTCATGCATACCATCCTTTGTCCATATTCTTGCAAAACCATCATATGATCCGGTCGCTAAAAGGGTCCCATCACTCTGTTAAAAGAAAATGTTACAGAAGTCTGGACTATTTAAAAGGCAGTATACTTTAACACATGTTCGTAAGACATGGAGATTAAGACTATGAATGCATCGTACTGCGATGGGCTGGCCCCCCCATCCAGGGTTGTTCCCTGCCCTGTGCCCATTGCTTCCGGGATAGGCTCCGGACCCCCCGCGACCCAGTAGGATAAGCGGGTTGGAAAATGGATGGATGGATGGAATCCAGTAATTCACTGTGAATGCTTACATTCCAGTCCAGGGAAGTGACGTCCTTGTTGCTGGGCACATCCTGGCCCCCCTCCCGGATACAGTGCCTGAGCACCAGTTGTGTGGAGGTGCTGATGCAGCTCTCGTTCAGGTTCCAGATGCGGGCTGTGGAGTCGCCTGAGCTGGAGGGGGATGACATGGCCTGAGTGTAGCCAAGACATGACAGGATGTACCACCCCCCCGGCCCTCGTCTCACACCCAAAACATGATGGACTGTACCACTCTCCCCCCACCCCCCCGGCCCTCGTCTCACACCCAAAACATGATGGACTGTACCACTCCCCACACCCCCACTCCTCTGGCCCTCATCTCACACCTAAGACACGATGGTACATACCACTCCGTCCGCCCCTCCTCCCGGCCATAGTCTCACACCCAAGACACAATGGAATGCACCACTCTCCCCCCACCCCCCTGACCCTAGTCTCACACCCAAAACATGACGGTATGTACCACTCCCTGCACCCCGACACCCCCAGCCTTCATCTCACACCCAAAACATGATGGACTGTACCACTCCCCACACCCCCAATCCTCTGGCCCTCATCTCACACCTAAGACACAATGGAACATACCACTCCCTCCACCCCACCCCCCAACCTTTGTCCCACAGTCACACACACACATGCGTCTATAAAACTCACCCAGAGGCAAGCAGGTCACTGACAGGGTTCCAGGCACAGATGAATACTTCCGATTCATGTCCTCTCAGGACCGTGGCTTTGCTGGCCGGGATCTCGACGTCCCCATCGACCTCCATTGATTCCATGTGGTTATCTACAACGGCATATCCAATGACTGTCTACTGTCTGTGAGACAGCTCTGTCATGTGACCCTGTCCCATCATGTGACTCATCCCTGTCGACTTTGGGCATCTGCTTACTCATGATATGGCTGCTGTTCTCATCCCCATTCATGGCGGTCTCCCCATTCTTTGCCGTGTTCAGCTGGTTGGTGGCTGGGGCTGTCGCCATAGGGGCCGTTGGCATGGGGGCTGTCACCATGGCACCCATCGCCACCGCTTGCTGCTGCTGCTGGGCCAGCTTCTCGTGGAAGGCCTGCTGGCGCATCTGCACCACGTCTGGCATCACGGCATCAATGAGTGACAGGGACTCGATCGGCCGCCCATCAAACACCGTGCCATCCTTCAAGGAGCAAAGTCCCAGGTCAGCCAGATTTCTCCTTATCAGTCAATATAATTATATTTAATTATATAACTAGTCCAATTGTATGGTTTTATAAGGTTTTATCTATGTTTTACATTTAAATTTTATTCATTTTATGGTGCTTTTATCCAAAGCGATGTTCAGTATCTCTCTCACGACACTCCTACTCGGCGTCCCTCCCGGTCTCTTCGCTCTCCCACGACACTCCTACTCAGGACTAACCCTATCCCTATTCTGTTCCTCAGTCTGCCCCACCACAGTGGGTGCCAGAGCCTTCAGTTGAGCGGCCCCTAAATTATGCAAATCCCTCACTCTTCATATCCGTCAACTGAATTCCACTGCACTTTTTAAACAGCATCTCCTCACTTTCAGCAAGCTTTCTCGCAGCCCTGACCTTTATTCACCACCTTTTTTTGTCTAAACCTGTGGCCTTGCATTACAGTTTTACATTGTTCTTTTTATCTGCTTTACCGTGTTACTTTTTTTCTGTTAGGTGACTTGTCTTGAAAGATGCTGTTAAAATATGTATTAATGTATTACTGAAGAAAGCAGGCTCAGACAGACCCTGTAGCAATAGGGTTAGGGGCTTTGCCCAATGGTGACATCAGACCCCTGGGGTCTGAACAACCGTCCAATCACAGGGGCAGCTGAGCCATACGGTGCCCCTCGCATTTCAAACCTGGTTCAGGGGCCTATGTCTTAAAGGTGTTCAAGTTAAATGCCCCCTAATACAGCATAATTTGTTGTGAGGCAGAATGAACACTTGCCTCATTAATGCTGATCTCAGCTTCCACATACTGAAGGCCCTTCTGCAGGATTGAGATGAGGGCAGCAGGGGGCACTAGTGTTCCATTGATGTTTGACTGGCTGATGTGACTCTCAATCCCAAAGGTGAACGCGGAATGTGAGAAACCTGGAACACAGAATGCAGGAACGGCAGATTTCAAACAAACTGCCTAAGAACATCAGCGGGTAATTAACACAGCAAAATACACACTGGAATCTCCAGTGAATAACAACAGAGTATAACACTGACACACACAAATACAACTACCGAAAACAAACAGATACTATTTCATTGGATATTATCCAAAAAAATGTATATTGCAAAGGTATACCACTTCTAAATATTCCATCATTCTGATAGGCATAATGTATTATATGTTCCTATGTATAACGCATATAAATTCCAAATCTATTATTCCTAAATCCATGCAGAAGTAACTGCTGTCTATTTAAAAAAGCACTTTCATGATGTATATTTTTATGTATGTAATCTTTCACATTGCTGCTGATTCATATGACAATTGCTTTAACTCCATCACTTTTTGGGGATGGGGGTGGTGGTTCCCTTGACTGAACCATCATGCTGAATTAAAAGTTAGCTGACAGGGTTTCAATCAGCCTAAGCAAGGCAAAATTTAGCATAAAGAACCACAAACACAATTTTACATTTCTCTTCTTACTTTACATAGGAAAATCCTTCCAACGATTCGTGGCAGAAGAGATTAAGATAATATTAAATTGGTCAGACTGATTACAGCTCAAGAAATAAGTAACAGATGATTCAATAAGTAACAGATGACAAAACAAGATGTTTCCACTTTAACTCTCCAGAGTTAGGGTAAATATTTAAGACTTGAATGGATCTTTAGTTCTGAGTAATAATTTTGACACATATAGCTTAACGTACCTAAAAAAGCAGATTAATTACGGCACTGGAGTATTTTGCCTGAAAAATCACATGCATTTCTGACCTCCAGGTAACACACACAAACAAAACACCAGCAGATGGCGGAGTGAGTGTGTGTGTGTGTGTGTGTGTGTGTGTGTGTGTGTGCGTGTGTGTGTGTGTGTGTGTGCGCACAAGCGGGTATACCTTACCTTATGAGCACACAATGTACCTACAACGTGATGAATGGTTACTTATGGTTATGGTTAGGGCAGGGTAGGGGTTAAGGTTGCCATAGTTAGCGTTAGCATTTTTCCAATAGAAATTAATGAGCGGTCCCCATAAATATATGTTTACCCAACATGTGCGTGCATGTGTGTGTGTGTGTGTGTGTGTGTGTGTGTGTGTGTGTGCCAGGCTAGTAGCTGGACAATCAGTTCACAGTAAAACCAGGGACTCTAGCAGAAGAGCCGTACAGTGGGTACAAGAGAGACTGCATTATAACCAAATGAAAGATCCAAAAGATCTTGAAGTCTGTTTGGAATCCTACAACGCAACACACCTATCTTTTTAGACTACAGAGCAATACGAAGAAAATCTGTGGCTCATGTTCTCCTTTCAGGAACAGCATCTCATGGTCCACATCACTAACACAAAAGGCCAGCTTGAGGAGGCAACACGAAGCTAAAATGCAGGCACATGGTGTGTGTAAGGTCTGCATGGGGTCTTACCTGATTCCTGGAGGTATCTGTAAACCAAGAAGTTCACCTCATCACTGGTTATACTCATCTTAGCCTGCCTCAGTGTAAGAGGTCTGTTTGATGGCCTGGCACACTCTAGACGGACAGGAAGACAGAGAGATTTAGACCAGCAGTTCTGCACACCAGTCTGGCTATCCTGAGAATCACAGAGTGCACTCTCACTAGGCATTCGGTGCCACACCTGTACACTACATTTTGGTGAAGCCTCACGCCGATTTTGTAGTACACTATAAAGTGAAGGACATACATACATACATACATTATATATATATATCTATCTCAGGCAAAAAAAAAAAACACCTCCAGGCCACAGACTGCTGCACTAGCATCCCGTCGCCTTCAATTACATGTGTGCGAGAACAATGCAGATGCCCAGAGAGTTGATCATCAGAGCTGGGGAAACTGAGGGCTACATCGGCCTTGGGATTGGAGGGAAGGACAGCAGACAGCCACACGCCCAGAGAAGCAGGGGTCCTTCAAAGGAGCGAACACGCTCCCCCACAGCAGAGCTCCAGAGGCCTCACTGACAGAAAGCCAGGGAAGGGGGGACGTTTTTCCATTTCATGTCGCCCTGCTTTCATCCCACGTGTTTTCAGAGCTCGTGCTACACTAAACACTTTCCACTTTTGGTAACGTAGCAACAAGCGATATGCAGCGAAAAATACAAGAAGCGCTTGTCCCAATTTTGAGCAGGCTCACAGCCAGAGGGACTGGGCATGTTACTTGGCATGAATAATTCACTGCCGCCTTTTTCCGGTGTCCTTTGCTTTGTTGCTCCATGAGATCGTACCCTTGATGCTTCAAGTGAAGGTTGTGGACCCATGAGGAAAGCAACTGACAAGGGTGTTTTAGCTCTGTTCAGTCACAAGCACATCCATCATATAATTTTCTGATTATTTTAGGTTCCAGTCATGATGTTTTTTTGGGGGGGGGGATTTGCTGATATTGTGCATGATACTTAAAAAGTCCCACTCAAAGTGCAGCACTCCACTTCACCGTAATCATTGGATTTAGAGTGTTTGTTTTTCTACATGATAGCATTTGTGGGCAGTACTTCAGATGCACATAGTGGTATCTCAAACATGCTGGACTGCAGGGAAATCATCACCAATCTCCACATCATGAACATTTATATTCTTACAAAGGTAAGCAACTACTGGACTGTTTGAATGAGTAATTAAAATAATCACATTTAAAATTCATACACAATGTAATGCAATATATTAAGTACTTTATCATTTGTAAAGGTGAGTTAAGGGTTTTTAGTAGGGATGGGTACCGTGCATATCAATGCCAGTACTTATAGATACTCTTATCAATACTACTCTCCATAATGTGGTGCAAAAAATAGACACAAGGTGAAGAGAATTTATTTTACTATAACTTTTTTGCAAAAATAAGTTAGTTTCCTGTAGTGCTGCTTCACTATCCTGCTAGTCCCGGATGTAGAAGGTTGAATTTCGTACCATATTTTAAGTTTTAGCAGCATATTTGTAAACAGAAAACAAAAGGACTGAATATTGTCTCTTCAATTATGAAGATTCCATTAAAACACATTGAATGTTTCCAACTGAATTTGTTGTCTTGAAATTCATTTTGAGGTGAAAGTATATGAGCTGAATTCAGGTGAATTAATTATAATAATGAACTTTATAAACTGTATATTTTGGTACTGAATTGTGGAAGCCACTTTTGTATTGATTATTTTACCAATGCAATTACAACTGAAATATTTTCAACTGAAATATTCAATGTTTAAAAGTCAAATTAAATTACAGCCCCTAAAAATATTCAGGCATTACTGAATGCAATGCATTTTTATTTAAGTATTATTAAATGTAATGTGTTTTTATACAATTAATGTAATTCAACATGCTTTTTTACATCAACGACTTTTGTCATTAATTTAATTCCATAAGCATTACATTGCCTAAAGTGAGCCCACACTTTTGAATGCTTTACCCTATCAGTACCTGTCATGATGACTGGAGAGGACAGTACATAAATACGCACCTACACGACTGAAATGTGATCGCATGATGCCTGCAGTGTCGTCATCATTAGGGGACAGTTAATTTAAAAACACTGCTATGTTAGGGCGCTTTTCCAATGCAACGGGTACGGTATTTTTGATACGGTACTTTTGGTTCTCTCCCTTTTCCATTGACTTCCATGGACTGGTCGCGTACCAGTACCAAAAGTTCCAGTATCGACAGTTCCAAACTGGGGTGCCTTCTTGGTACTTTGGGGGACTTGAAATTCTTTGTCATTTGGTTATGCAAATAGTCTGCCTCTGAAACATGATCCAACCGCCATCTTGGAAAAAAAAAAACTGCAAATTCAGAGAATAAGGATAAATTATTATTAAAGTAATAATAATGGATGGATGGAATCAAGGTTTAATCTCAGTGTAGTTGGAAGAACAGATACAACAAGATCAGGGTTGCAGGGACAAGAAATAAAGTATTTCGTATAATATACTAGGGCAGCACGGTAATATTTTATTGTAATAATTATTGGGGTATTTATTGAGCAAAAAGGGTTTCAGAATAAATTTCTCACAAACCCATCTAGGAGTGATTTAAACAGCAAGGATGAAAATGATTATGATTGTCTCGGAGAACACGTGCAGCGTTCATGCAAAAGCAGCGGAGGTAAACTTTAAACTGATTTTTAAACCTATATTAGATAATCAATAAAAGGAATAATAATTAAAATTGCAAAGCTAGCTAAGTTTTTTCCTATGAAAATGTAAACATGTTTTAACGAAACAAACTCCCTATGCTATAATGTCTGTACAGCAGGGGTATTCAACTAAAATTTAAAGAGGTCCAGTTAGAGAAGTAGTCTTGAAACAAAGGTCCGGAAGATCATAATGTCTAACTATTGAATAGTGTGATATATATTTAAGTAGCCTATTAGTTGCATCAACATTGTATGTAATCAGTACCTGATTGTCAAATCAAATTAATTCAGTACAATTCAAAAACGTTTTGACATTATTTATTGTCACGTGACATAGAACTTCGGCCAGCTGACTGGAGTGAGACTTTCAATTCGAGATGTCTGCACATATGTAACAGTTCTTACCTTGTAAATAGTCTGCTTTTGTATCTAACCGTGTAAATACACTTTTGACGTAGCTAATTTTAGGTTTTATAATGGAATAATATAGATTTGCCATAATATTTCCAGTATGAGTCTGAAAGCGTGAGTGTCATGCCAGATGCTTGAGATTTGGCAACCCTGAAAACGTACATTTTTTGTTTCACATGAGTTTATTTATATAACAGATAACATTACTTTATACATATGTTAAAATGCAGAAACTTCAACGAACATGAAATCAACAATAAACTACGTCTTTTTATCCAACATGTTATATAATACATATTGTATTTGAAAACTTTTCAGCTTTACGACTAAAGGAGAGCGCAGCCACTCTGTTAGGAACATTATGCTTTTTGTTTGCGGGTGTTAGCTTCGCTGCTGCTATTAACACGAAAGGCACATTACCGCAGACAAAGGGCTGCATACGCCGAACTATACGTCTTGCTTGGCGGTCAAAGGCGTTTGATGTTCATTGGCGTGGGAAACGGCGGTTCTACTGCTAAACCACTACCGAAAAGACTACAAACGCTGCGCAGGTTAAAATAAAAGCGCCCCGTCAGGTTTTAAATAATAACTAAATGTTTTGGCTGTCGGTCCGGGTCCGTATGGGACAGCTTCTGGGTTCGGACCCGGACCGCCTGTTAATGACCGCTGCTGTACAGAATTTAAAGAAAAGCTTGATCTTAATCTAGCTGGCTAACAATGTAAGAACTGCATGTGCATAACATGCGATGTTGGTATTAATATCTCACACCGTCCAGCCGTTTAATATGCTTTAGCCTTTTTTCTAATTCAGTACGTAATACGCTGCCCTGCCTTTTCATGTTATTCAGCACCGATACCAGTTTTTACGCCAGTGGAAAATCAACATATTCTATAAGTACCAAAAGTACGGTACTTGGTTCGGTGGAAAAGCGCCCTTAGAATGAATTAATGGAAAAAATACCAATAGTGGGCTCGTTTTCCAGGAGTTTATCGATAGTATCGGTATCGCCCCATCCGGAACCGGTACGAATCCAGTACCAGTTCTTGATACCCATCCCTAGTTTTAAGGAAGTTTAATTTCTGTGTTGAGGCAGATAAACTAAGAATCAAATGTACCTGTAAATGCCTCAAAAATATTTTCATTGTTTCTAATGAATATTTTCACTTCAGCAGGCTTCAGACAAACAAGTAATCCACAAAATGAAGGGTTTCTTTGAAAGAACATACACATTGAGGGCATCACTCAGTGGGAACCTTAAACATTCAAAACATGAAAATGTCAATATCCCCGAACAACACACATTTCATACTAGACATCAAGTAACTGATGTATGTCTAGATCCCAAAGAGCAAGTAACGACTAATACACCAGTTCACGATATATATACCTTTTACTGGTATGCAAGGACATTTTCAGTAGAATAAACTGAATACAGAAACAACTAATTATTTTGCTACAGAAAAGCATGATTAATGGTTAAAATATTTATGATACTGCAACTGAACTACGTTTTCTACTAGCCCAGATGCAAGTGCAGCCACATTCCTTTCTCTGACAGACTGAACTTTAGCAAGGACAGCAGGGTAATTTTCTTCCTTTGCCTGTTATTTTCTGCATGTGGTTGGTTACTTGTGCATTGGAATAAAACTTTCCATGTTGATGAAGAACTCACATTCTTACTCTTCAAAGCTGCTTTTGAGGTCTCTGGGCAAAATGCATGGAAGTCTCAATGCCACTATGCCCTTGTGGTTAATTAGCAAATGACAAGGCTCTCGTGGTTCTTCTTGAGTAATATCACTGCAAGCAGTTGCATATGCAAGCACCGCCCTTTAACGGCAAACAAACCGAAATATAATTAGCATGGAGCCCAAGAGGATTGTCGACCCCTCCTCCAATAACAATCCATCCATCAGATTAACATCAACATAAGACTAAATGGTCCCACAAGTGTAGATACACACACATACACCCCACGATG